ATAATGACTATTTCAGTCACTTTAACTTCAAAGCCGTTATTTTAATCCTTAAATATTTGGCTGTATCAGGGCTGCACTTTCCTTGAAGCAGTGGCCTTGAACCTTCAATGTATCTAATGTGATTAACAGATGTTTTGTAGGGCTGACTTTATATTATGTTTAGCCTTAGAAATGGAAATCCAAACACCTGGATTTATTTTACAGTTGTTAGATTGAAAAAGACCCACTTGCAAATTGTGCCACTGAAACTGAAATGCTTTCAGTGATAAAACTGGGTATATATGTATGTGGTATTAAGACTTTGGCAAGTGAACATACTTTCTAGCTTCTGAGGTGAAATGGCTATATAGCTGTGACTTTTTCCACTCTTTTTTCCACATACTTATTTTGGGAATAGGATTCCTAGTTGCTGTGTAATATAAATCATGGAATCACAGAATATGCTGGGTTGGATCGAGTCCAACTCCTGGCTTGGCTCAGGACATCCCAAGGATCACTCATCCCTGAGAGCATTGTCCAAACACTTCTTGAACCCTGTCAGGTTTGGTGCTGTCATCACTTCTCTGGGGAGCCTGTAAAATCTGTATACTTGTAGTCGGACTATACTAAATAAAATAAACTATTTGGTGAGTACTTGCCTTCATTTAATAAATAAAAATAGTTGTACAATTTTTTACTCCTTCTGTTATGACCAGGGATGTCACAGTTTGCTCCCCTCTTGAGAGAGGTTTTTGGAGCTGGGTGATGCTGGCAGGGCTGAGTTTACAAGGCAGGAAGCACAGACTCTGCTCCCCTGGCCACACAGATGCTGGCATAAATGTTTCTTTGGTCACAGCACTTGTATCTCTTGTTTTACTTTCTTTGTAGAGGTAGCTATTAGCCACCCCCCATGTTGGCCTTTCAGCACAGAAAGCAGGTTATTTAAAATGCATTAATTTAATTATTCTACGCTACTCAAGAAAACAGGAGTGAGCACCCAGCTCTTCCGTGAACTATGGAAGCTGCTCAGCTCAGCTGACCTTTATAGTCTGCACTTCCTCTGTTCTGGGCCAGTCCTGCATGATCTGATTGTGCAATGGTCTGATTCACAGCAGTGCTGCTGGTGTGAATGGTCTCCTTGTATTTGGGGGAAGTGATTCCTGTTAGGAAGGTTTGCCATGTGCCCAGGTCTCCAGTGAACTGTCTGTTTTGTAGACAGAAGTGTAAACTGGAGATAAGCTAGATTCAAATAAAGAGTAGAAGCAATGAACCTGTGTGCCCTAGTTAAACAATTAGTTTTTTCCTTTTGCTGGTTTTTTTTGTTTTTTTTTTTTTAAGCTGTAAGTGTGAAAATAATTGGAAGAGTAGAAGCAATGAACCTGTGTGCCCTAGTTAAACAACCAGTTTTCTCCTTTTGCTGCTTTTTTTTTTAACTGCAAGTGTGAAAATAATTGTTTTTATGTGAAAAATGCAGTGAAACTATATTCTGTCTTGGGGTTTGCAGGTGATGATTCTGTTTGAATAACAAGAACAGTATTTAATTAGTTAAAACATTAAGGCTGCTTATTTTGAAGGCATTACAAGAACTAGGGAGCTCTTTGGATAGTATGCTCTGTTTGTCTCAGCCTCCCTGCTGATTTCTGTTTAGAATCAGTTTTATATTTTAAAAGAAATCCTAATGCTATAGAAGATAATAGGGCTGGGTTTCCTGTAGGAGATGATAATGAAAGTGATCATAAGGCCTAAAGCAAACAAATTAAAATGTAGCTATTCCCCCTCCCTCTAGTAATTTTACATGGCATTTTAGCACAGACTTCTAAAAACTTTAAAAGAAAAACCCTGGGTATAGATAAGGTACTTACTAACTTCACTGCAGTTTCAGAACTCCCTAATGCAGCAGCTCTTACGGTGAAGTTGTCATTGTGTCATCTCAGAACATCTGTACACAGTTGCTGTTTTCAGCTAAAGGCCATTGATGGTGTTTCACTGGTCATTACTCCTTTTATTTATATTAGAGGTGAAAAGCAGGTTAATTAGTCATTTATACTCTGTGTTAACAGAAGTAGAATCACAGACTCATTTGAGATGGAAAAGACCTTTAAGATCATCAACTCCAAGCATCAACCCAGCACTGCCACATCCACCACTAAATCCTGTTCCCAGGTGCCTCATCCACACATCCTTTCAAGGACTGGTAATCACACTTCTCTGGGTTAGTGAACCATTCCTGAGTATGAGACAGACCTTTTTGCTGCCATAGCTGCAGTCACAACCTCTGAGTGACTGTACATCTGGAGAGCTGTTAAGATCTGATTATTGTGATTATTAGAGAGAGGTGCTTCTACCCAAATTAACATGCAAATGAGATCATATGCTAAAATCAATAATGCAGATTTTATTAAGTAAAATGTGTGAGAGACAAAGACACAGAAAAGAGGGTGGAGGGAAAGGATAATCACTGGTCTTGTGGATCCAGCAGTGTTTTGTAGGTCCTTCTTCACCCTTTTTGGTGGTACGGGTCCCACAAAACATAAAGTTTAATGGGTTAATATGCATTCAAGTATATATGGGCATGCTCAAGCACCTTTCCTGCAGAGTGGAGTTTGCTACACTGTGAATCATGTACATCCTTTGATGGAAGGCCCCAGAAATAAATCTGAGGGTGCTTTGGGTGACTTTGCTGGTTTATGACACCTTTTAAGACATGACAGCTGCATCTCATGCCTGTGTAGCTGAGCCTGTTATACCCCATCAGAAGGGGTAAATACCCTCAGGCCTGCATGTGAGTGTGCATGTCCTGTGCTCAATGTGTCTCTTGAGTCAGTGAACTATGGTCTCCTCCAGTCAAGAGCTGACCTTCAGCACAGTTCTCCATGGACTCCTTGCAGTGTTACACTCTTCTCTCCCACTCTTGTTTACCTCCCCTTAGGCTTGAGATAACTTGGACAATAGTAGTGCCTTTATCTTATCTCAAGTCCCCATCAGGTGGCTTAATTTACTGTCCATATTTCCAGGAATTTGTGGGGGCAGATTAGGGGTGAAGGCATTGGTGGTTGCAGTTGAGGAGTTGCCAGAGAGGGCAAAGTCCTTTGATGATCGTAATAGTGTTTAGGGCTATTGTGATCTGTAAGTCCCTTCTAAGAACATATCCTATGCTGCAGGTGTAGTCTAACAAGGTCCAGATCCAGCTTGTTAGACTACAAAATGCCCTTAGATTCAGCATTTTGGCTGCTTCTGAAAGAGGCAGAGTTCCAGATGATGGTTGTTGCTCGCAGGTCCTACAGGCTGCTGTGTGAAAGCCAGGCACCTGTGTATTCACACATGGGCACTACTGGTCCTGTGTTTTAGAGCCAACCATGTGTAACTGAGAGCAAAATTATGTCTGGATGTGTAAAGTGAGGTCCTTGACTGGCAGAGCATGAGAACAGAATCAGAGCAGACAGAATAGCACTGGAGATGGTAGAGATGTTGTTAAAGCCCTAATGCTTTAAATATGGCTTGCGAAGAGGATTGGGTACAAAACTGGGTTTGTGTCCTGGTTTATTGTTATCCTATTTATCAGGAACTCTCAAGATACTCTCTTTAAAAGGCTTTTATTCAGGCTTTGAATTAGAGATTCAGAGGTTGCCTTCTTGGGGGAGCTCAAGTTTCATAAGAATTGATCAAGTTTTGACATGATGAGAGGAATCTTTTGAAACTTTGTTTGAAACTAGATTGTTTAGGCCTCTTGAAAGTGTATATTAAGTTCTAAGCATTGTATATCCTCAGGTGAAAGGGCACCTGTGTCAATGAATCTAAACATCCTGAAGGACGAGGTAAGAATTCCACAAGAACTCTGCACTCTGCAGGAAATCCAGGGAAGATGGAACTTGATAATCCTCATGGTTGAGGTCTAAAAAGGCAGAATAAATGTTTAATGATCCTAGTTTAGTTTTGGTTTAAGTAGTCCCTTCTGATTTCTCAAAAAAAGCATTCACTCACACATAGGAAGAATGTACTCAGAGATGTGTTCAGAGGATATTCAATGCTCTGGATGGCGAATTTCTGATTCTGGCAGAATACTTGGATCCAGAAGCAGCAACTGGCCTGTGGCTTGGCATAGGGTAACTTTGGGGAAGGGATCTTTGATCAGTTTTGGTTTTCAGGCTAATAAAACAGACTGTTTATTTCATTAAATGTACTGATCAATGCTCCAACAGCAGCTGCTTGGTCTTACTCTTGATGTGTGAGCACTCTAATACGACCTGGCATTCCTCTTGCAAAAATGTCATAAATATTTTCAGGTGGCAGTCCAGGAGGAAGGTGGCACCACAGTTCTGTGGATCTGAAGCGATCAGGAGGAAAAAAATTTATTGAGTGAACTGCAGCAGCAACTCCCCTGTTGCATTTTCCTCCAGGAGGAGCCATGGATGGTTATTACTGCTGGCAGCTCTCAGAGGTTAATGCTGTGGTTGTCTACTTTAACTGGGTATGAAAGGACAGGTAGTTCTGTTTCCAGTAGGATCTTCTGTGGGAAAGCCAAGATGTTTTGGCTAGTGTGCCCTTTAGGCTGTTTGGCAACAAGGCTGTGTATCAGATAGTCAAAACCAGAAGGCAGCTGTGAGGGATTATGTTCTCCTTTAACTTGTTCAGTCCTGATGATTGTTGGATTTTCCTCAAGGACCTTCACAAGTGGAAGCTGCGATTGGCCCATTAGTCTGTGCCAGCACCTTCCTTTGTATTTTGGCTTTAATCCACTTTCCTGGTTGGCTCTTCACAAACCTCAAGTTGTCCCTGTGCTCCAGGGAGCCCCTTCTTTCTTTCATGGCACCTTTCAGTTGTTGTCTCTGTTGTTGCTGGAAATGAACTTGGAGAAAGTAGAGGTGGGAAGGGCTCGGCATGAGTTACTCTGAACAGACCTTTGTCTCAAAATAAACCTGATGAGAGATCATTGGATCTTCTCACCTGCCATGCTGGGCTAAGAGCACTTTCAGCTCCTGCAAGTGAAGTCCCATTCTGAATGAATGCACATCTCTTCACAGAAATGTTCTGTTCCTGGCATGTTGCCTGCAGTGGCTCATGGCAGGTGCTTTGGGATGGAATGTGGAAAACAGGCCATGTCCCAGTTTGTCTTGTTACAGAGTAGGAAGTGTTGGGGACAGGGTCTGTGTGATGTCCTGTTCCAGTGAGAGCCTTTGCATTGATTTTCTTGGGCTTGCATCTGGGAGTGGGACAGTTAAAAGTCTTTGTGCCAGTGCCTGAACTCTGTGTATTCTCTTCCCTAGGCAAATTCAGAATGTGCACACGGGGCTGGATTTGTCTGTGCCGGAGTACCAGGAAATCCGTGGGAAGATGATGTCTGGCCATGTGGAGTATCACATTGTCGTTGTTACCCGACTGGCTGCCTTCAAATCAGCAAAGCACAAGCCTGAAGATGTGGTTCAGTTTATGGTAAATATTTCATCAGACTTGTGTTAGTGATCACTTTCTTAATCAGCTTTGATTATTTCTGTCATGATCTAGCAGATGCTTCATCATCAAGCACAGCCTTTCCACGTTAAGGTCCTTGGTAGGACAACACAGTCTGTACCATTTCTGCAATTCCTATTCCATTATGCATATTCCATTATCCACACAGTAATTGAATTTTTTATTCCAGGAGCTAAAAGTGACAATGACTGTTGTTGCCTTTAAGGCATTTTTCATTATGGATCAACAAATAGAAACCAATTAAACTTTTTGGAAGTTCTGCTGCAAATTAGTTTCTCTAATATATGTATCAGTACTAGACTTTGTAGAGAAACATAAAATAAATATATAGTAGCTTATTTGAATGAGTCTATTACCTGGACACAGCTTTTAAAATCCTTAGTAAGAGAGGTTTACAAGGAAGTGTCCATATAAAACATTATTTAGCTGGATTGTCTTTTTCACTCTACCTGCAGAGTAGAGGTTTGAAAGCACAGCACATGACTTAAAACAGGTGAAATTAATCTAATCGATGGCATGTGCACATCCAGTTAATGTTTCCCCTAGGACTGTCTGTCAAGCTGATGGGAAAAGGTGCATTTAGGGTGTTCTGTTTGATCTTCTTTAGCTGCCTGCTGAACCACTCCCAAGAAGTGCATTTCTCTGTCCATTGACCACAAGGGGACACACCCTGTTGGATGCTGTGACCATCTACTCTTTTCAGCTGTTTGGGCAATAACTGTAATGTCAGAGTGATGTGAGTGTGTGGTTACCTGGTAGACCATGACCTGTAGTGTAACTCACACTTTGTAGAAGATAGTTGATAAAAACCTATTTAAACAATCTGATTTGCAGATAAATATCTGGCAGTGTTGTAAAGAAATGCTTTACAACAAATGAGATCTGCATTTATTCCACACCTTGTTCTGCTATATATAACTATGGTAAAAGCAGCAATGCTGGCATAGGAGTCTGTTCTGTTCACCCTCTTCATCCCTGGCTGCCTGTTCTCTCTCCTGTAGTGTTTCCTTTTGTATGCCAGTGTTATGTGGCTATTCTATAACCTCAGCTGAGGAACTGCTCCTGGCAAAAAATGGATATTCTGGGGCTTGTTATTCAGTACTGATTTACACCTGTTCCTTGAGCCTGTGACTTGCACCATATCATTAAAGTTTCTTCTAGGGCAGGGATGGGCCAGACAGGAGCACATAAGAGATGGGGTTGTGCAATTGCTTTTTTTCATGCAGCAATGCCTACTTATGTTATGTAATTTTTCCACACAGCTCTGTGGAAGAAAAAATCTGGCTACACCTCAGGTGTTAAACTGGGCTGTTGTCATCTAACTTCATTCTGCATCATTTCAGAATAAGTTGATAAAATCAGCTTGTCTATAAAGAGGAGAAAGAGACTCTGTACTGCAGCCCCTCTGCTCGCTGGGGTAGTCTGTTCCCATGTCTCTCTGGGAGGATTTTCAGCACTCAGTTGCTCTTCTCAAGTGAAATGAACCTTCCTGATTTCTCCTCTGGTGAGGTCTCCTGACATTTCATTCTTCATGAAGAAGAAAACTGGAGCCTGACGAGAATAACATTTATCTCATCAGTTACTTTTTTTTCAGCTGACTAAATATGATGTATTATCTAGTTTGTTGTGTGAGAGTAATTTAAAACCATGAGCTGGGAGGTTGAGGATGGATGCTTTCCATCGATTCATTCCGATGAGTTTTGTCTGTATGTATTACTGCAGGGAACAGAGGGATTCACCTGTCGTAACTTATCTCTCTGTAAATTGGATATTTTAATCTGAGTCTGTCCATTCTTACATGGTCAGTGGGGAGGAGGGGAATGATGTGACTCATGCTCTGGAAATGTCTCTCTTCTTTGACCATAAAGGGAAAGTATCTACATTGTAGACAGCTGCAGTGAGGGGCTTCAACTCCAGTCTGAAATGCATGAGGGTCAGTAGAGTTGTACACAAATCACTGTGTGCACTTGGAAGTGCCCTGGGGTTTTTTATCTGACCTTCAGAAGTTGTGGGTTTCCATAGATCTTATGTGGTATTAACCTGCTGCACACAAGCCCTCAAAGCATCTCAGATAGCATGGGATGCCTTTTTCTGGGCAGAACAGTCTGCAGATGTCTGTGTTTGGTTTTCTAAACTCCCATCCCCATTGGTGCAGTGCTGTTGAAAAGGATGTAACTGAGCATCTGCGGGGTGGGAGAACCCACTTTGCATAACATAAAGGTCTTGTACCATTTGAGAAGCCCTGAGTTACCATAGGTGTGTGCACAGGGCTGGCAGGAGTGACAGAGGACATAAAGGCATTGGCGCTGCCCTGAAACAGCAAGGAGAATACAGTGCATCATCCAAGGTGCCACTGGCTGCCTGTGTTCAGGTGAGTTGAGCTTCAGTCACATTTCACCAAAATGTCATCTTACCAATGACTGTCATGGGAGCTGACACCTCATGCCTGTAGGCAGATGGCTTAGCCTGGGGAGAAGTGCCAGTCCTGTGGCTGCCAGGGAAGGCGGGTTGCACCCAGAGTGTCTGTGCAGTGCCCTGTTCTGCTGGATGCTGGAGCAGCGTGAACAAGAGCTGTGACCCTTTCCCAGAGTCGCAGTGAAGTCTAAGAGAGGTACCCGTGGAACTGCAGAGAAGAACAAGGCTGCAATGGGCTGCAGATCTAACGCATCAAATTTGTATCAGAGCACTGTGAGACAAGACATATGAAGGAGGAAGGAGAAACTGCTGTGTGCCTCTTCTGGAGCAGAAAGGGTAGAATGGGAGAGGGGACATATTTTTTTGCTTTTTTTGAAACTTGGAGGAAGGAGTCAGTGTCACAGCGCTGAGGTGACATGTAGGTTAGAGAAGGCAGGCTGGTGTGGTAGGATTTTCCTTGTCTCTGGATACCAATTTTTGGATTGCCTCTGTTTTTATGAAGGAGGAAGGAGAAACTGCTGTGTGCCTCTTCTGGAGCAGAAAGGGTAGAATGGGAGAGGGGACATATTTTTTTGCTTTTTTTGAAACTTGGAGGAAGGAGTCAGTGTCACAGCGCTGAGGTGACAGGTAGGTTAGAGAAGGCAGGATTTTCCTTGTCTCTGGATACCAGTTTTTGGATTGTCTCTGTTTCGGCCAGCTGGGGAGCCAGGTCTGTGTTTTGTGGCTCCTCCTTGCCTTGTCACTGTCCCTGAGGCCTCAGAGGAGCAGCTGCTCCCGCCCTGCCCTCAGGGCTTGCTCAGCGAGCATGGGCGGCTCCAGATTGCCTTGTCACTGTCCCTGAGGCCTCAGAGGAGCAGCTGCTCCCGCCCTGCCCTCAGGGCTTGCTCAGCAAGCGATGGGCAGCTCCAGTGGCTCCTCTTTTCCCTGGGAAGGGATGGTGAGCAAGGCAGAAGCATCCTCTAAGCTAGCTCTGGTCTCCAGGATCGAATCATAGGATCATTTGGGTGGGAAACAGCCTTTAAGATCATTGACCCAGCTTTTGATGGATCACCACCTTGTCAACTACGCTGGAGCACCAAGTGCTGTGTCCAGATGTTTCTAGAACACCTCCAGGAACTCCACTTCCCTGGGTAGCCCATTCCTGGGTAGTCCATTGAAGCTCTGTCCTCTCGTCCTGTCAAGATTTGAGAGATGTGATAAGGCCCTATGACAAAAACCAGATAAACATCAAAAAAGAGTATTCAGATCTGACCTGTGAAGGCTCCTCTTTTCCCTGGGAAGGGATGGTGAGCAAGGCAGAAGCATCCTCTAAGCTAGCTCTGGTCTCCAGGATCGAATCATAGGATCATTTGGGTGGGAAACAGCCTTTAAGATCATTGACCCAGCTTTTGATGGATCACCACCTTGTCAACTACGCTGGAGCACCAAGTGCTGTGTCCAGATGTTTCTAGAACACCTCCAGGAACTCCAGCACTTCCCTGGGTAGTCCATTCTGATGTTTAAGGACCAGTTCTGTGAAAAAATTATTTCTGATGTCCAACCTGAACCTTGCCTGGTGCAGCTTGAGGCTCTGTCCTCTTGTCCTGTCAAGACTGAGAGATGTGTTAAGGCCCTATGACAAAAACCAGATAAACATCAAAAAGAGTATTCAGATCTGACCTGTGAAGCCTTTACTGTGGGTCTAAACAATCCAGAGTGCCCTATTCCCCAGCCTTAACAGGACTGTGCAAAATCAGCATCACAGCATCCCTAATTAAAATGTTTGTGAAGCATTAACAAAAGAAGAAATTCACTTCTGTGATGACATTCTAAATTATTAGAAAATGGAGGGACTTTTTAATTAAAAAAAAATGCTAATTGTAAAATAGGGCAAATGGGTTTTAGAACTGCATAACCTTAAGGTTATATTTGGTAATTAAAGGAAAAGTCAGTTGCATTTCTTTCAAAGGTCAGAATACTCTTGTACTATTGAAAGAGGGAAATTGGTTTTCTCTTTGGTACTGCTACCAAGGTGATATTTAATTATTGCCTGTAGATTTGCCATTTTCTGTGATAAAGAGAAAAGGCTTTGCATTTCTTAAAGGCATTTCTTCTAGCCACACCTTAGCTTTTTTAGCAATTAACTTCTCCCTTTCCAGTCTTACTAAAAATCCACCCAGCCTTTAGTGCCTTCTCTTTGTATCTGCATCCAGTTTAATTCTTCTGTACAAGTTGTTAGCCAAGTTTTTTCTTTTTCAAAGCTGAACAAATAACTACTGGTGTTTGACAGGCATAGCACAATTTAGGGAGGCATTTACTATAGAACTGTCTTCCTCTCTTAAAATGAAGGAGTGTATGAGTGCATGGGAGTATATGGGTACGTGGGTGTGTATTCATTTATGTTTTGATCATTGCCTTTTTGCATATGTTGGCCTTTTTCTTTTTTTTGGGCCTCAGAATCTGTGCATTGGAGTTGCTTTTTCCTGACCATACAGGTATGTTGTGAAGATAAATTCCTTCACTTATGGCTCCTGTGATGTGAGAGGAGGGGAAAGAATTAATGCTCACTGGAGCAGTAGGTTCAGGAGCCACTAAGGATTCATGCTGATTAAAAAGAAATATTAGAGTTCTTACTCTTCTTCTGGGCAAAACAGATGAGAAGAACAGCATGTGGTCATGTAATTAAAATCTACCATAATGCACACCCACAGGGTCACCAAGCAACATTAATTCTGGTATGGCTTGAATTGGGAGTTTCCAAGCGAAACCTTGGCTGGTGCTGCTTGGGAGAAGGGGTGCTTTTGATTCCTGCACCCAAAGCTAGTGGTTGTTTAAGAGGACAGAGATGCTGGATCTCCCTTTTCTGACAGTGTTAAGAAGTGGGCTTTATAAGAAGAAAGTCACAGTAGCCCTGGTTTTCACAAAATACTGCAAAATCAAGCGTGCTCTTTGTTGGTGTGCTCTGGCTGGCAAAGGGCTCGAGTTGGCTCTGAGATCTCCATTTTGTTGAAATCCTTGCAGTAGATATAAAGCATATGAAGACAAGTGTGAGGTCACAAGTGGGGCAGTAGAAGGAGCTTTGAAGGGAAAGGAGGCATTAAATAGCATTAATACTGAGTGGGATCAAATTCTGTGCACAAGTGTGAGTCCCAGGCTCGTATCCTGCAGCCATTCCGGTGTGTACTTTCGTGCATGAGGCCCTTGGGAAGAGGGGGGCAAGGCACATGCATGAGATTTGAGGGATTAGTAGCAAACTTCAGACTTTCACTTTGAACTTCCTGGTGGTTTTCTTAACCTGCTAGCTATACTTGATCACATTCAACTTACTTATTTGTTCCTAGTGGAAAAAAAAAAAAAAACCCAAAACATTCAACCCATCCCTGTCTGTCTTTTAAGTTCTGTGTTGGATGTTAATTGTTACAGGCAAATAAGGTCTTGACCTAGCAAATGTGCACATGCTTTGCTGTATTTGCATGATTAACTCTTTTGAAGTGAAGCAAATTGAGCCTTTGATATTGTGACTTGACAGAACTCCTTGAAGTGTGTGCACTCAGGCTGACTTACAGGTGTGGGGGCTTTAGATCCACAGTGTTCACAGAGTTCAGTTAGAGGCATGGAGGGGGAGAGGATAACTGCAGGATCAAGACCTGGAGAAATTACAGGTAGCAGAAGAAAAATACTTGAATATTAATTAAATCAAATTTTGTTTACTTAATAGGATTGATAAAATAGGGTTTAGAGCAGTGCTTATTTTCTATCCTGACATTTTGGGCCATAGGATCCATCAAGGATTTTCAACGGGCTGTAAGTGATAACCAGGAAAGGCAAGAATTAATTTTGTTACATGCTGATACACCTTTCTCTTGTAAAATTAACAGAGGATGTCAAATTGAAAGGGTCCAGAATTGTTGCAACAGAGCAGTGCTTTCTGACTAGAAAGGTGTGAGAATGCTCTGTGTCATGTCTGGGATTTGCTTGAAAAAATACACTCTGTGGAACCTGTCTGGCACTTGTGTAAGGCCTCTGTGCTGCTGCATCCAGCTCAGGGGTCCCGAGTACAGGAAAGACATGGACCTGTTGGAGCAGATCCAGAGGAAGGGTACAGAAGTGGTCACAGAGCTGGGACAGTGGGGACACTGAGGCAGCCTGTTCAGCCTGGAGAAGGCTCCAGGGTGACACTAGACCCCTTCCAGTACCTGAGGGGGCTGTGAGAAAGCAGGAGAGGGACTGGTTACAAAGGCATGGAATTGACAAGGGGGAATGGCCTTAAGCTGAAGAAGGGAAGGTTTAGATTAGATGTAAGGAAACAATTCTTACATCATTAGGGTGCTGAGCCACTGGCACAGCATTGCCCAGAGAAGCTGTGGCTGCCCCGTGCCTGGAACAAGGCCAGGTTGGATGGGGCTCTGAGCAGCCTGGTCTAGGGGCAGGTGTCCTTCCCATATTGAACAGGGATGATCCTGAGGGTCCCTTCTAACCCAAACCATTTGGTGATTCTCAGCACAGCAGTCTGGGGCTGCTGGGCTCAGCCAGCCTTACCCCTGCATTTCCAGCCCCAAACCCAGCCTGGCAGCAGAGCTGAGCGAGGCTGTGGAGGAGCCCGCGGCTGCCAGGGCTTGAGGCGCAGGGACAGTGGGTGAGGAGCCGGGCTGGCAGGGGCCGGCACTGGGCTTAGGAGAGCTGGGAATGGTTCTGGCTGCAGGGCCGAGCCCTCGCTGGTGCAGCGGGGTGTTCCAGCAGAGGGCATCCCGGCACTGCGGGATGTCGGCCTGCTCGGCCTGCTCGGCCCTGGCGACAGCGCTGTCACCCTGGCTGTTCCTGTCGCCTCTGCCTTCCCGGCGTTGTTGTTCAAAGCCCACGCAGATCCACAAAGGCGCAATTAGCGAGGGTGTGCGTTTGCTTCAGGTTCAGTGGTGTAATTAGGCATAAATTGAGATTTATGAATAATTTACAGACTTTGATAGAGGAGGAATGAAAATTAAGCGGGGAAAGAAATAAGTTTGTGTATCTCAGTTCAGTGTTAGAGTATTTTTAAAAACTGTTTTGGCATAATCTTGATTGGCTGCTGTCTTGTAATGCTTGCAGAAATTAATTTGGTAGTTATTAATGAAATTAATTAGATGTTAAATGTTTTTCGCAAATCAGACTTAATTTTTTTTTCCTGGGTGAGGGTAATGATGTTTATTCTTTTGAAAGAGCACCAGTGAATTCCTGACTGCCCTCACATTGGTGCTTACATTGTATTTTTGGGAGGGGTTCAGGCATCCTACCCTGCTCAGAGTGCTACTGGAACCTAGCAAACTAAAAATGCACAGCAGTTCAGAAGCTCTGGGATTGCTTTCTCCTCCCTTTTTGGGGTGTCTTTCAAAGGGAAGATTGTGATGCTCTGGAACATCTCTATTGCCCTCAGTTTAGTGCCTGGTTGCTGAATGGCATTTCAGATCTGGCATGTGGAACACAGTGTTACTCACACTTAACCTTTGTTGCTTTCACAAGATAAGTCTAAAATTCTTGATTTTCATTCTCCTGTCGACTCAGGTTGGGTGTTGTGTTTCAGATCTTTGTTACAAAGCTGCTGCTTTTTGTGATTGGGCACTGAACCCACAGTGAACATTGTACAGCTGAAATGTAAATGCTTTTCCAAATCATCTGGCTAGGTTGATAATTATTGCAAAAGGCAGGGAAGCGTGAAGCTGAGGTGGTTATTGCTCTTTGTGCCCACATCTGAATCAGTGAACTGGCTGAGGTGTGCCTGTACTGACAGGGCCTGTTCCTGGCCTGGAGGGCAGCTCACACAGTCTGGCTGCATGCACAGCATTAAACTTCCTTACCATCTGCAGTGTGCATCAGTGCCCAACTGGCTGCTGGGGGGTCTCTCCACCGGGCCAAATCTTAGGCTGAAGAGTTATCTGGGGGTGTGACAGGTGCCCAGAGTGTAGGAACTGTGCCAGGCACTGTCAGGTTCCAGTAGACACTGTAAATGAGGTTTCTAGTAGGTGCTCTCAGGTTCCAGTGGCTGGGAATATGCCTGATGCTGTTTAGTTTGCTTGTATAGATGCAGTGTAGGGATTCTGCATTGATCTGTAACTCATTTCCCTTCTGTGCTTTTTGTTAGGTTGACTTTCTTTATCACTGCGTTGGTGGGAGAACACTGCATTACTCCATTCCAAAATGTGGTGCTTGAGTCTCTCCATCTTTTATATCCATCTCAGTATGTGCAGTACTGCACATATTGCAGTGCTAATTAGGATTCACTCCTCTAAAGTTCAGCAATACATGTTACAGGAGGATGAGAGCTGGACCCTAAAAGAGTGTGTCCTATGCTAGCACTGGTTTTTAGGTTGTTTTTAATCTCTGTATTAATTGAAACAGTTTGGTAGATTATGGATCCATGGAGGGCCTTGACAAATATATTATCTGTATAACACCACAGAGCAGGGAAGTCACCCTCATTGCATCTGTAATGTCACTTAGAAATAGTGTTTTGTTTGTGTGTGGGTTTTGTATATTGGTTTAAGGTACTGAATTCAATACTTAATGTGGCATAAAAGCCACACCTTTTCTAACCAACATTCCCATAGCTATTGCTTTCCTTGTAATATCTTGAGCCTTATTTCTCCTCAGGCTTCCTGTCTTTGTCCACAGAAGGAATGACTCTGCTGGCATCTTCTCCCTGTATGAGAACTTTCAGGGCATGGCCAAGTTGTTGATTTTTATTTTCTGATGGATAAACTGAATAGTCAGGGGTCAGCTGAGGTCTTTGCCCTTAGGTTTTTGTGTCATGTGTTCTTCAGGGCAGAAAATGTGACAGTTTTTTAGGTCTAAGCAGCCAAAGGGCACTGAAGCCACCAGGAGTGAGGAATGGGACAGTGGTGCAAAGACATGGGCAGCTTTCTCCACCATGTACCTACCAGGCAGGGCTTTTCTTCCCTCCTGTCTTTCAGGACTGCGCATCACTTTTAGTGGACAAGGATTCCTGCTGTCAGAAAAGTATCTGCAGCAGTGACCTTCCCAGTATTTCATTAGATGATGAGTCAGACAAATGGATTCTGGCAATGAACTTTAATTCCATTAAGCAGTGGATTTTTAATAACAGAATTAGAAGACTAGCAACAGTGCTTAAGGATTCACTGGATACATAGCAGGGTTTTGCTAGGCCATGTGTAAAGCTCCTTGCTAATACATGGTTTTCCACTTCCACAGTTAATGTTTCACATCACTTCACTGCTGCTTTGCTGCTCCTGTCTCTCCTGAAAAGAAATGAACCCAGGCAACACATTGTCTTTGCAGGTTTCCAAGAAGTACAGCGAGATTGAGGAGCTCTACCAGAGACTGACAGCACGGTATCCACAGGTTTCTCTTCCACTCCTGCCTAGAAAAGTTCTCTTTGTGGGGGAATCTGACATCTCTGAACGAAGAGCTATGTTCAATGATATCATGAAATTCATCTCCAAAGATGAGGATCTAGCAACGAGTCCTGAGTTACTGGAATTTTTAGGTAACTAAAAGATGTGAGTGTCCCCTCTCCCATGAGTGTGCTTTATGGAGGTGTAAAGTTCTTGATTTGGGCAACCAAAAACTAGAGGGTGCCAGAATAAAGGCTGTCACTGAAAATATCCTCATGTGCATTTACAGTGCTGCACAGTCATGTTTGCTAGTGTTTCTCTCTCCTCTTAGTGGACACCTTCCTCATTCAGACATGTTGATAGGTACCTCCAAAGCAAGCATTGTGCTAGCCTGTCTCTGATTTCCTGCTGTGCTTCAGAACATGTAAGTTTAGAAAGCTAAATAGTCATACATTGTCAGTGGGGAGATGGACCCTAAAGGGACAGTGCAGGGTCTCCCTTAGTGACAACTCTTCCATGTTTTGTCTGCTTTTCCTGCAAATTATTTACTCTGAGAAAGATTTAAATGGAAGACAGGTTCTTTATTAGTTAAACACATTGTCTAGCTAGTCATTTTTATCTTTAGTTTATTTTTAATTTTTTTTTTCTTAGTTTTCCTTAGCCTTATGTCCAGCTCTTGTTGTCTTGTCTAATGATTCATATAGTACCTTTCTTAGGTCCCTTGGGCATAGCAGGGACTTACTGAATGAGTGGAACATAAGAGTTCTCTGCTTTTAATTCAGCTGAGGGCTGCTGAGCATGGAATACTCCAGCCTGGTGCTGTGCAGGATTCTTAGTGGAGGGTTACTTTTAAGTAAGTGAAGTTGCAAGAAGCTAACAAGTGTAACCAGTCCATTTTGCAGAAGTGTCAGGTGTGGCCAGATTGGTTCTGTGAAACTGGGAGCTTCCTAAAGTCAAAGGGGGCAAAGCTGCTTAATGTGTGGCAAAATCCAGGTGGTAAGGTTTTTGTTTGGGCTTTTTTCCCTTAGGCAGTATTCTCTTGAAAGCAGATCCCTTGCACAGAGAATTCAGAATTCATGTTGACTGATCTTTGCATGCCAGTTAACCTAACCATGGTGCACGTCTGCAGCTGAACTAGGCTGGACATGTGCAAGTAATGTGAAATCAGAATTTGCCTTAGAATAATGTCAGTCTTACCCTGATTTGGCAGATGCAGACATGAAAAGCTGGGTAAGATGACTCTCCCGTGCCATGTTACTTCAATAGTCAAGATGGTACAACCATGAATTTTAGTCATCACAGTTTTCAGCAGCCTTTTTTTTTTAGCTGGTCTCATGATTTTAAATTGCTTCCCTGGACATTCAGAAACTCGACAACAAGGAACCATTTTCTCCTCATTCTGCTGGCATTTGCATGTAACAAGTATGGTGAGAAGACTTGGTTTTCTTTTCCAGTTGGCTGAATTTGCTGGGCTGGATGCATCTTGCATACTGAAGGGTGTTAGAACTTCAAGCTTCATTTTTCGGTGTAAACTGAAGAGCTGCTGTAGAAGCATGCTGCCCAAGGCTCTAATTTTAGCCCAAGTTAATTACATTGTATCAAAAAGAGGATGTTATCGCTACTAGCTATGTGAAACTTAGCTACCTACATCTATGCAGAGTATTTACAGTGTCTCTGTAGCCAGTAGAAGAGAAATCACTTCAAGGAGAAATTCACATGACTTCATTTGGATGGGATGAATCACCATGTGGAAATTCTGTTGTTTCTGTTGACTGTAGAAGGAGCATAAATAAGCAGATTTGACATGTGCTGCTGTGTCTCAGATAAAATTCATTTCCTCTGTCTTTCTCTACTTAACTACTTTGAATCAGTAAACAGATCAGAAACATAATGACACATAGTGAATAAAGAGAACAGTGGGAGTGTTTTCACAAAATTTCACAAAAATTGACAGAAATTCACAGAAATTTCACAAAAGCTGATCATGTCCTTCGTTCCTCAAACAAAACTCTCAGGAACAACTGCAAGGTATAAAAAGCCTGTAGTTGTTATCTTGTATACTCAGTTTTGCCTCCATTACTATGTTTTGCAGGAACAAAATCTTCCAGTGCTGTTGACTTCAAGGGTAAAAACTTGCCTGATGACAGGGAGAAAGAAGATGAAGAAAATGAGGCCTTGGATTTTTTCAAAGAGGAGAAGACACCTGACTTAATCTCGCAGCTTTTATCAGTGGAAGATGTCAAAAAATGGGAGAAAAAAGAAGGGGGAGATGAGGAAGAAGAGGAAATTTTAGACCCTCTTGGTATAATCAGGTATGGCTAAAATCCTGTAAATTAGGTATTTAGACATCAGCCTTCCTGAATAAGGCTGTTGTATGTCATTGTCCTCACATCACTAAATTTCACAGGGGAGGACAGGCTTCTGCAGTTCGTGAATGAGGTGCTTTGATAGAGCTGTTGTATGTCATTGTCCTCACATCACTAAATTTCACAGGGGAGGACAGCCTCTGCAGTTCATGAATGAGGTGCTTTGATAGAAGGAAGAGACTTTGTAGTGCCTTTTTAGTACATTCCTCAGGACATCGAGGTGACAGGGAGTGCCTTGGTAACAGTCCCAGCTGCAGAAGGTACTTTGCTGGGCACTGCAGGGTTCCACCACAAAGCATCAGCTCTCCAGCATCCAGTGGATGTGCCTTCTGGAGTACACAGGACACTCTGATCACAGTGTCTGGAACTGCTTTTCAGCTCACTTGTGGCTTTTCTTTCCTTTTTCCTTTGTCTGAAGGCGTCACATGCTAAATGCCACTAAGGCATATGCTTGAGAAACAGTGATTGGGTCAAAGCTTCCTGATACTGGGATCTGGGTGTCTTTACCTGTCCAGTAATTTTCAGTCAGTTACTTTCTTCACTTCAAGATGGAATTTCTCACTGAATTCCAAACTGATTTCTAACTACTAAAGTCTGGAAGCAAATAAAGTTTTTCTGTGCTGGGATCATGAGTATCAACGACTCCCTAGGGTGTCTCAGGCTTTAGATGTCCAAGTGAAGAAGGTGTAGCTGTTTTGATCTTCAGTAAGCAATGACTGACCCAACTGGATGGTTCCAGCCCTGCAGAGTCAACAACAGCTACTGAATGTTGTCTTGGATCTAGACTGGGCTTTCCAAAAGCTTCTGCATAGCAGTAGGGAGTAACTGAGTGTAGCAAGCCAGACCCTTCTCTTGCCATTTCCCAGTGGCATTAAATCGTTTCCAGGGGATCATTCACTCTAGGTCTAAGCTGGAGTCTCCTACACTAAGTTTGGTCAAATAAGATGAATAATACTGGAAGCACTATTTGGACTTTCCTCCTGCTATTATAACCACATGTAATCATGGATGCCCAGATGTTGTCCTTTTTACTTGAAGTATTTAATCCTTTAAATCAGAAAAGATTCACCAGAAAAAGATCACCAGAAAACATTAACTATTGCTCTTTCAACAAAATGTCCTTAATTACTCAGCATCAAAATTATTCTTTTGTTTAAGGAGAGTTGAAAAAATTAAATAACTGTTTACAATGAGAAGTTAGATAAAGCAATACTTCCCACAAAATGGTCCATAGTTTGTATTTTTACAAAAGCAGCTGTCCTTTTTTGGATAGGAAAATGATCTATTGGGTTAGCAAATGCAATGTTATATTTTCCAACTTACAACAAATAGAAGCTGTAAAGAGCTTGCTATGCCAAAACAAGAAAGAAGTTTGCTTTTCTCCTCTGCACAGCTTGACACAGCATTTTAAAATCTTGATTATTTTGGTCTTCTAATGCACTGAAAGATGACAAGATCTGGTATTTAATCCTCATTTAGTTTATTGCTTCAGTTCCTTCCAAGTACAGAATTCTTACTGAATCAAAATAACTTCATTTATATAAGAAGTATGGTCTTCACTGGGACAGAGCTGCAGCTCTGCAGCAGCAGTTATGCAGTCAGATGTTTTTCACCCTAAAACAGTGGCTGGCTATCTATACAAGAAACTTCCATATCTATTTATTATTGTTTCTGTGATTCTCACATGTACAGTGTTGGGGCAGAAACGTGAAAGTGGAAACAAGAATTCAGAGGCGGATTTTTCATTGTCTCTGTTCTCCTGTAACTCACCCTGCTTCCATGGAAATTATTTTCAGCTCACATCAATGGAGATCAGATTGTACATCAGCACTGTATCCCAGCTCTGTGCCTTCTAGTAAGAGGTGTCTAGGAGAGAGGCCAAAGGCAGGAGATAGTGGTCAGTGGATAGGCAGTTCTCAGGGGACATTTTAGGGTGTCTTCTATGTCTGTTAAAATGTTTGGTTCTCGCTTGCTTTGAAGAGAGAGCTGAAGCCCCACAGCTTTAGTGCTTCACGTGTGCTTGAAGTTATTTTAGCATGGGAATGAATAAACGGGAGGTGAAGAAGATAGATAAATGTGTTTAGTAGTAAATTGTCCCCCAGTGCCTAGTAAATTCAGGTTAAAAAGGGGAAAAAAAATCCATACTCTTTTCCTCTCTGAAAAACCTTTGGAAAGCTGTAGAGTCAGCACTGAAACAAGCCAGTCCATTTTGTGAAGTAGGGCAGTCCAGAGTGCTTTGAGCAGCAGAGCTCCAACCTAAATTGAATCATGTGTTTGGCATGATCTTACAGGTTTTTGCTTTCTGGATGAGGATGAAACTGCTCCAGTAGCACAGGCTCCATATGCTGTCAGCATGCTTCATTTGGTAACAACTTCTCCTCCTGAGCCAGAAGGCTGTGAATTGGATTTGGCCCAGCACTGCTGCTGTGCTGCTGAACCACCCAATATCCAGTTAAATATCAGGCCTTAGGGGTAAAATGCTAAGCTAGAGCCTTTTTTTTCCTGGTTGTGTATTGCTGGTGTTCACCCAGGTGGAAGCTCATAATGGCCTGGTTGCTTTTGCCTGGAAGAGACATCCCAGTGATGCTGATTCTCTGCCTCGCTTTCAGGGCTCTGTCTGAGTTGGTCTTTGATATCAGGTGGGCAAACTCACTTGCCAGTTCAACTCCTCATCTTTTATGGATATTAATGATGATCTACAAACTTTGTGTTTCTCTGTTGTATGGTTCTTATGCCTCAAAGCTTTCTCTCTATGTTAGCAGGGTGATTCTGGGATTCTTAACAACGGAAAAACTTGGGTGTTTGCTGTCCAAACCAGGAACATGTCAAAAACAATACATATTTCTCATTAAGTTTTCATCTTTCAACATGCCTCCTCCTTTATATTTTTTTTTTTTACCCCAGAAGCCTGGTTCTTCCTAGAATAAAAGGTGCTCAATATTAACTTATATTTGTAGGATGCAGTGTTGAAATTGATTGAAATATATGTTCTTCTCTTCACCCTCTGCCTTTTTTGATAGTTTGGAGCAGTGGTATTTCAGTGTATTGTCACCAATTACTCTGCAAGTTTTCCTGAACTTCTGTAGAAATCTTTTCAGCTTTGGACACAATATACAGGTTCTATAAGAAAAATCACTCCTACACAGAGTAAGACTGTGCTTTGATATCAGCTGTGCATAAGGGAATGAATTGTAGTGTACTCACTTTTGTAGCAGTGGAACACTTTTAGTTCTCTTTCACTTTTCTTAGCACTTTAAGTATACAGTGACTTATAAGTCACTGTAAGGCTCTCACAGCATTTTTTTAGAGGTGCATCTCTTGGGTTTGGAGTTTTTTTTTACTTTTTTCCCTTTAGCCACAATCATTATAATATTCCTTTGTTAAAGTGCTTTAATTCCCTTACAAGTAGGAAATCAGATATGTAAGTAACTCCCCATTGTAGGGACAATATTAGGTATATTGACTTAGCTTTGTCACCACTCTTTGTCACTCTTCTTTAAATCCATAGAGCTGAACATTTACAGATACATATTTTTAAATCCTTAGTAGGCTACCATAGTGCTTTGGTATCAGAGTTTTTAAAGGTGCAGTATTTTTAAAAAATGTTTTAGAGTATTTTCCTCATAAATTGCAAAATAGTATTGTGTGGCTAGTCTCAGTTGCAGGGAATTCTCCAGCTGGTATGCCTTTAGAAATGAAAGAAACAAGAGCAATGGGTCTGAAAGAGGTTAATCCTCTGAAGGACAAGGCATGGAAGAGCAGCACAAGTTGGATGAGCTGAACTTGATGGTACTGTTGAAAATTCTGCAATGGAAAAAGGTGTGATTTTCCAGTGAATGAGGGGAGCTGTGTGCAGCCGGGATCCAGAGCAGCAGCAGTGCTCAGCCAGGGCTGACCTGGCCGTGGCTGTACAGTGACATTCTCCTGTCCTCTCAGGGAGGTTAGCTGTGTCCAGAATGCCCACTGCAAGTGCCTGCTGGCCTGTGCTGCCTCCTGGGCTGTGATTGGGATGGTTTGGGAGAAGGCAGGTTGTCCCATGCCAGGGTGTACCAGGGGCAGTTCTAACAGCTTGAACTGTTGAACTGAGCTCCTGTGCTCAGGCCCAGGCTGTGAAGGAATTACTCAAAAAACCAGTATGTCCCCTGTTCTTCTACCCACAGAGCTTTCTGCCTGCTGCTATCTTTCTCCGCTCTGCCCTCAGTCTACCCTAGGGCTTGGCTTTCTGTAGACAAGTCAGGCATCCAGTTGGGTGCTTAATCCAAGCAAGATCAAGTTCACATTTCCAGGTATTCTTCTTAAAGCAATTTAAAACACATGAAGTAACTGAATTGGGTTTTGTCTTCTTCCTCTATGGGTAAAATACAGAGTTTTACTGTTTATATTTTGAAGCCAAGAGCTTTAGCATCCCTCTCCTCCCACTTTGTAGTCACAACAACTGAATTTAGTACTTGTAGTCAGTTCATTCCAAAAATCCTCAGACAGCAGCTGATTAAAATGACTGTGAAGCAGCTCCTCTGAACAAAGCAGCAGTAATTCTGCAACAGGAGTGTGGCTGCCTCATGGGTTAAAACATGCAGCAGCCCTTTCAGTGCATGCATTTCTTCAGCTGCAATTACCTTCTGAGGTAATATTTGTTCACTACTTTGGGAGAACCCACCTTTTCCTGAGCTTTTTTTCCTGTCTTCATCAGCTCTCTGCAGCCTCTCCTCCACACAGGGTTCCTCCCTTCCGTCCTTTTTCTTCTGCCTCCCTAAATCTTTCAGTGACAGCATGTATTTCCCCAGGCATAGGTTTTTCCTGGCAAACTCTTCAGAGGTGAGTATTCCCTAGGCAGGAGTTCTTCTATCTCATCATGCGTCCTGGAGAGTCCACAGAGTCTTGACTCTGTGCCTTTACTATTGTTTCAGAGGATTTCCTTATGACTTCTCCTCATCCAAATTTGTGCC